GCGGAGCCCGCGGCGCCTCCGTCTCTCCGAGCTTCGCCTCAGCCGCGCTCACTTCCGGGTTTCGGGCGCCATCTTGGGGGCCCCGCTCACTTCCGGTCATGCCGCGGGGCGGGGTCTCTGGTGGGCGGGGGCGGGGCGGAGGCCTGACGCCCTCCCGAGGGAGTGGGGCTCAGTGGGCCACGGGTTCGCATCCCAACCCCGCCAGTTTCTTTTGGGACCCTGGCACGTAGCTTACTTGCGAGCCTCAGTTTCCTCCTCTGCCAACGTGAAGGTCGCGTTGAATCTGGCCCACCTCCAGGCCCACCCCACCCGTGCACTCTCACGCCTGACCTTTAGGCCGCTGGGGTTCTCGCATAACCCAGATCTTAGCTCTGAAGCCCGCCTCCTCAGATGCTCCCTCGAAACCCTCTGAACCGGCGCCGCCCCGTCGTTCTCTCCCTTAACTGCCTCTCCACCAATGGGTGTCTGCTTGTTAATCTGTCTCCACCCCAGTAGGAGTTCTGGGATCTAGGGGACCCCCGACAATGGAACCCAGCGCATGGGAGGGGGCGTCTGGTGAGGCCCAAGAGCCAACCCAAGGGAGAGGGGGTTCCTCTCAGGCCGGGCCAGGGGGGATCCGGGTTGCTCCCCCCCCCCCCCCCCCCGCTCCCTCCCCATTAGGGCTTCCCAGGGCCTGATGCAAATGAGGCTGGGATTTGCCGCACTGCCAGGAAGAGGGTGGGACTGCTGTTTGGCACAGACAGTAGATTTCCTGTGACTTGAACCCATTGGATCCACCGTGGGGTGGGCCAGGCCTGTTCAGGCAGATCCAGTCTGGGAGGCACCACCCCTTCCCTCTGGGTTTTCAGTAGTGAAAGCACTGTGACCATTTCCCCACCTCACCACCAGCCCCCTGAAACGAGAGGTTACCTCTCCATGTGCTTGTTTGCTTATTCAGTGAACTCTGAGCCTGGCCCTGGGCTGGACAAAGCTGGGGACCCAAAGGACTCAGTTCTCAGGCCTGCCCTCAGGAAGCTCCCAGTCTAGGGGAGACAGAGCCAGGACCAGATAGTCCCATCTGCCAGATCAGGCCTGGGGCTCAGGGAGGGGTGAAATCTCTGCCTAATGAATTATGGAGGAGGTGGGTATTGAAGCTGGGGCTTTGAAGTTCAAGTAGGAGTTTGCCGGATAGACACGTGTAGGAAGAACAGTCCAGGCAAATAAAAGCAGTTCACAGACCTGTAAGGGTATGTAAAGGAGATGAATATGTTTGAAACGTGTTTGCCCCACAAAAGCCAAGCCAGGGACTCCCTGTAGCCAAACCTGCAAGCACAAGGGAGCAGATGGGGAAACTGAGGCCCAGAGAGGAGAAATGATTTATTCAGAATGAGCTTTGCTTCGGTATCTGTAGTTTTTGGCAATTTGGGCTCTAGCCTTGACTTTGAAACTATTTTTCATAGCTAATGAAAATAAGCCATATTGAGCAATACAGTTAGGATTCAAAAGCACGAATAAGCTGACATGGGGGATAGATAGCTTCCGGTGGCATTTTCCCATTTCCTGTCACAGAGGACAAGCCACATAACTTGTGGCGCCCAGGGAGAAATGAAAACGGAGAGCCCCTCATTCAAAAAGTATTCAGAATGTCAATATGGCGACAGCAGAGCCCCTGGGTGCGGGGCCTGGGCGAGGCCCTGAGTCACACACCCACGAAGCCAGCCCTGTTCCACCGTGACCTTCCCAGGTGGGGACCGCTATTACCTGTGTTTGGCTGGTGGGCGAACGGCACTGCGGAGTTGTTGAGTAGCTGGCACAGGGTCACGGAGCTGCAGGGAGGCATGGACTCGACCTCTGCCACGTCCACCTAGAGAAACCACAAGGTCTCTATGGGTAATTTTGCCTGAGATGGGGGCAGTTTGCCCAGGCCGGGGTGGGTCCAGCCATCTCAACAGGGAGCAATCTGCCAAGTCTGGGGATGTCTAGGGAATTAGTCAGATTCGGGGATTTCCAGGGAATTGCAAGAGGCGGCCTGGGAGAGCAGAAGGGACACAGCTCCAGAGCTGGAGGCCCAGGCTAGGGAGCAGCTTGGCTGATGTGCTGTGTGACCCCCAGAAAGTTACATAACCTCTTTGTGCCTCCCTTTCCCCACCTGTAAAATGGGAATGGGTATAGTAATAGTAGCTACCTTCTAGGTTATTGAGAAAGCAAAACGAACAGCGCCTCGTATCTGGCTGTTATGAGTATTTCCAGATGAACTTCTGGATCTTTCCTCAGAAAAGTCCACAGAGTCACCTGAGTGAGTGTTGAATGAGATGATAATCACGAAGAAGGCTGAGGCTGGAGAGGAGGGATTTTTTATAAGGAGATGAAAGGCAGGGATGGGGGCCCTGGACAGCCCCAGCTCTCTGGCTCAGGCTGCAGAAGGACTCCCTTTGAGGGTGGGGACGTGCCCTGCGGGTCAGATGTGCCCCACATCCCCTCCTCTGCTGGGGACCAGGCTCACGGAAGGCCGGAGGTCTGTCTGGAGGAGGGTCAGAGAGCCTCCCCCAAGCCCTCCCTCTGTCCTGGTACCACGCGGGGACCCCCTCAACCTCCCCCGGGCATTTTGACCAGGCTTGAGAAAGTAGGGCCACCAGGTAACGTGCAGGGCACCCAGTTATATTCGAATTCCAGGTACACGAAGAACAATATTTTAGTGTGTAAGTATGTCCCAGGTGAGATCTGGGATCTACTTACACTAAAGAAGTAGCATCGGGGCGCCTGGGTGGCTCAGTTGGTTAAGCGACTGCCTTCGGCTCAGGTCATGATCCCGGAGTCCCGGGATCGAGTCCCACATCGGGCTCCCTGCTTGGCAGGGAGTCTGCTCCTCCCTCTGACCCTCTTCCATCTCGTGCTCTCTATCTCTCATTCTCTCTCTCTCAAATAAATAAATAGAATCTTAAAAAAAAAAAAAAAAAAAAAGAGCATCTGTGTATTTAAAATCCACATCTAACTGGAAGTCCCGTGTTTTCCTTGGCGAGATCGGGCACCCCAATGTGGGGAGACCACAGGCAGAAATGGGGTCCCAGAGCCAGGCCAGGACCCCTCTCTGCACCTCACTTGCCAAAAGGGCACGGCCATGGGACCGAGCACGGGGAGCCGCAGAGGTGCGCCCACCGTGCGCATCAACTCTTGTTGTAATCGTTTTGAACAGCAGAAAACTTCAGGCAGACCCGAAAGTCAGGCCCCCTGGGGGCTTCCCTGTGGGTCGAGGGGGAGATTCTTGGGCTACCCCTCAGTTTCCCCATCTGGGGAAAGACTGAGGAGACCCCTAACCTCAGTTTCCCTCCTGGGAAGGACTCCAGGGCTACGCCCCTCCTACAGCCTGGGAGACTGAGGCAGGCGGAGGGCTCACCCAGGGAGGAGGAGTGAGGGCCGCCTGCCGGTTCCAGCAGAGACCCTCCGACCTGGGCAGGTGAGGTGGGGCAGGTGGGCCCGGCCTGGTGCTGCCCTGCAAGTGGGGGCGGGGATGGAGCTGCTTCCTGTTTCTCCACATTCTGGAAAGCCCCGGCTTTCCCCAGCAGTGGGAGCACCTCCCTGCCTGCCTCCCAGCTCTGGGTCCCTCACCACTTCTCCTTTCTGTACCCACTTCCCCTGGCTGCCCCCCAGCCCCCGTGGCTCTGCTCCCGCCTCCCCTCTTCAATCCCTTCTCCCGAGCCCTCATTTCTCTCCCCCTCCAGCCCTTCCCAGGGTGTAGAAAGGGGAACTGAGTCAGGGACAGGAACATGTCTGTACCTCCGGCTCCATCACTTTCTGTCTCTGCCCCCAGGTCTCTCCATCTGCCCCACCTTCTATCTCTGCTTCCCGCTTGCCCAGCTGTCTTCCCCAGCTGACCCCACCCTGTCCAGCCCCCTCCCTGAAGCCAGGCCCACCCACCACCTGCCCCACGTGTCCTCAGGCAGCTCTGGCCGGCTGGCTCCAGGGCCCCACGGCTCCCTTGTCCCCATCCTGAACCTGCCTGTGCCCAGAAGAGGATCTGGCCCAGCCCAACCAGGGCGGCCTCTGAGCCACGACACTGCAGGGAACAGCAAACCTGTCCAGTGGGTTTGAGGTCCGCCCCAGACAGGATTTCCCACCTCTGCGCTGGGGCTGGGACACCCCGGCTGCAGGGGTTAAATGTAATCCCTGAGCAAGCTCTCCCCACCTCCCCCAGGTTACCAGGTTGTGGAACAGGCAGGAAAGAGAAGGAAGATCAGCAGTCCACCCCATGGGGGAAGGACCATCAGGGAGAGGGCACAGCATGCGCAGGGGGCCAGGGCAGCAAGGGCAGTGAGACTGGGAAGGGGGGACTGGGCCGAGGCGGGGCCTGCAAAGCTAGGGCACGGCCCTTATCCTGGGGGCAGAGGGAAGCCGCTGAAGGCTGTGGAGCAATGGAGTGGTGCGGTCTGGGGCAGGGGAGGGGGGCTGGAGTTTGCTCCATCAGCCTGCATGTGCTGGATGGGGTGGGACAGAGGGGCCACATCTCAAGCTCATCTGGTGGCAAGACAGAGGTCTGAGGGGGCTCAGCTGCTGCCCGGAAGCCAAACAAAGGAGCCGAACTTTGAATTTCTTTCTGTCAAGGGGCTGCAGTGAGCCAGGCTTGAGCTGGAGAAGAGTTGGGGGTCCTCACCCGGTACCCACCCCCAACCCCAAGTCAGAGGGGGACTTGGCTTGGCGTTATCCCCAGAGTAATGGGGAGCCGTGGAGGATGTGGAGCCCCCCAGAGATGCCGCTGGGGCAGGGCGGGCCTAGGAGGGGCTGCAGGTGAGTGCAGGAGGGAAGCGGGAAGGTGGGGGGTGGGCAGGGAGGAAGGTGGTGATGCATTTGTCAGGCACCTGGGCGGGGGGAGCAGAGAGCAGGGCATGCCCGGTGATACTCCCAGCCACAGTATGGACACTAGGACACCCTGCCCAGTGAGGGTCTGAGCAGCTAGATGAAACCCCCACCCCCACCCCACCCTGCCCGTCCTCCCTGCTTAGTGCCAGCCCTGGGCTCTGATGTCACCTGTGCTGGGACTTCCGGAACCTTCACCTTGGATCTGCCCTGCCCTGAAGGGAAACTCCGGGGCAGCTGGGGCCTGGCTGACTCACATCCAGGTCCCACATACACCACAGGGGCTAGGCTCCCGAGGGATGAGGGCTGTCAGGGGCATTTGGAGAACTTCATGGGACCCCACCACCCTCCACCCCCACTGGGGCTTGGGACGAAGCCAGAATCCCCAGCCCTAAGGCAGACGTCCCCATCAGAATCTGCAGGGCAATCTGGGTTCTAACAGGTGAGAATCTGGGGGGGCAGGTATTGGAGCTGGTCTAGGTTCATCCACCTCTGCTGGTCATCTCCTGCCCCACAGGCAGAGGGGAGCTTTAGCTGTAGAGCACCGGAGATAAGACTTGCCGGGTTCAGATCTTGGCTCTGCCGCCCAATGGCTATTTAATCGCTCCGTGCCTCAGTTTCCCCATCTATAAAATGGGGATAACCGTAGTACCTCCCTTGGAGGGTTTTTGTGAGAATTTGGCAAGAGCCACTTGAGCAGGGCGTGGGGTATGGTGAGGACTTTATAGTAAAAAATGTTTAAAGAAAACAAAACACTTCTTTTTTCTTTTATTTATTCATTTATTTTTTTATTTTTATTTTTAAATGTTTTATTT